CTTCTGGCTAGGTGTGCTGCCCCCCACCTGCCCATTGCGTGGCACGGACAGGGCTGCTCTCCAGGGACTGCTGGAGTCAAAGGCTTCTTGGAAAGGACACCCAGTCCCTTTCTTTTGGCATCTTTGGCCATAGCAGGACGTGTTCCCAGGCAGTCCCACAGACCTTTGTGCGCATCCTTGAAGTGAAGTGGTCCCATGTCCTCTGGAGCTCCTCAGCAAGAAGCTAGCTCAGCCTTTCCTCATGCCAGGTGCTGTATGAACAACGAAGGAGCTACAGTCCCTGCTCAGGCAGCCTCGTTGCTCCAGTAGAAGACCTGCAGATAGAAGAGACAAGTGGACAGATAGGGTAAAGAGGGCAGAATAGCCAGATGCACGTGTGCCTTTTGCCTGTCTGGAACAGTGTGGCGACTTGCTTCTTGCCTGTCTTTGTGTCCCAGAAAACACTACGAGATCAGGACAAGTCCCTGAACTCATTTGCTCTTGGGAATCATCTGCTTGCATCATTTAGGAGTTTGTACAGAGTGGGGTGCTGACAAATGTGGCGCTCTTTCAGAGAAGGAGGCAATGTTGAGCCCCTCCCTTCCTGTATCAGTGATGTGCAGAAAGACCTGGTGGGAACTCCTCCCTGGGTGGGAGTGAGAGCAAAGCACTGCCAGAGCTGATTAGAGCAGGACTCCGACCATGACCAGAAGACAGAACAGGAATTACTGAACCACTGACTGCAGCCCTTGGAATACAGCCTGAGCCTCTGGTTTGGCAGAACTTTCCCTTTGCTTAATTGTCTTAGCCGTGGCTACAATGCAATGAGCTTGGTCAGGTCCAGACTTCTCACATTGGGATGAAGGGGCTAGGACATTCATCCAGCAGCAATCATGCTGTGGAATTTCAGGGCTGTGAGAGCAGGAATATACCTGTGAATAGGAACAGAGGAGGCTGCTAGTCAGGGCCGGGAGAGGGAAAAGGAAAAATGTAAATTGTCAGCAGACAAGGGGAGCTTTTTCCTGAAAGAGAAGAAAGGGAAGGAGAATAGAAGCACAGTCTGATGTGCTGTGCTATGTTTTTTTTTACTTTAGAAGGGCTTGGAGCACTTTGCAAAGTCCACATATGAGGCTTCAAAGGGCAACGAAGGTGGTGAAGGGTCTGGAGCACAAGTCTGATGGGGAGCAGCCGAGGGAGCTGGGGGTGTTCAGCCTGGAGAAGAGGAGGCTGAGGGGAGACCTGATCGCTCCTTACAACGACCTGAAAGGAGGGGGTAGCCAGGTGGGGGTCGGTCTCTTCTCCCAAGCAACTCGTGACAGGACAAGGGGGCATCGTCTGAAACTGGGCCAGGGGAAGTTCAGGCTAGAAATGAGGAGGGATTTCTTGACAGAAAGGGTGGTTAGGCATTGGGATGGGCTACCTGGGGAGGTGGTGGAGTCCACATCCCTGGAGGGGTTTAGGAAAAGACTGGAGGTGGCACTTAGTGCCATGGTCTGGTTGACATGGTGGTGTTAGGGCGAAGGGTGGACTCGATGATCCCAGAGGTCTCTTCCAACCCAATCGATTCTATGATTCTGTGATTTTCTCTTGGGGAACGGCTGGCAGCAGCCTCCTGACACTTCACAACTTGAATGTCCACAAGTCTGTGGAGCACAACACCCGTGTATAGGGTTTAGCAGCCGTGTAAGAGTGCAAGAGGTACACAGTGACAAGTGAGATAGTTCATTTTCTCCCCTGGAATAGCTCCTTCCTGGAAAATTGCTAGGAAGGCAAGGGAGAATGGAAAGAAACACAACAAACTCCAGAGAAAGGAAAAGCAGTAGAAGCAGTCTCTACATCTCCAAGCAGTTGCTGTATATCCTGGGCACGTGGATAGCAAGTGACTGCGTGTGTGTGTGTGTACAAACACCAGGGGGGTGCATGTAGCATGTCCATGCTATGCTTTGTGCTTATTAGGGGATGGTAACTGTCAATGTACCTGTGCTGTTTAGGTGGTGTGGTGCTGTGCTGAGTGGGGCGTGTGTGTGTGTATCTTTTTGATATGCACATCTACTTGTATCCGCAAGGTCTCTGCATTTCTTGCTGTCACTGCTGCCTTTTGCTGAAATTCAGGAGATGGCAGTGACCCAACCCATACTTCGGTTCCCTGGCTAATCTAGTGTTGTCTTGATCTCTGTGACACCCCAAAGTAAAGTGAGCTGTTGTGAACGAATGTCCCCTGAGTGATAGGTAGGCAGTCCCAACATGGACACTAACATTGGAAAGGCAGTATGACTGCAGATCTATTTCCTCTGCTTTTACCATTTGACCTGAGCTATCCCTTCTTCTCTGGCTGCATGTTTTGTCTGACTGCTGGTGGCTGATGTCCTGTATCTCTCTGTGCATCTCTGAAAGGTGCATGCTGAGCATGGGGAGCAGAAGGGCAGTACCCCTGAAGCCCTCAAGCCTCAGCACATTCTCCAAGGCCCTGGTCCCCAGCATCCAGAGGGTCGGGAGGGAACCGCAACCCCTTTCCTCTGTGGCCAGTGTTACCTGTGAAATGCCAGGCTCCTGGGCATATCTGTGGGGCGGCTCTTTCTCTGCTGTTCCCGAAGTGGTACCTTTAGCTCTGACCCGCTCCCTGCACTTGGCAGCAGTCATCTGCTTTCCGGAGGCGGCTTGGTATTAAATATCCTGTCTGACACAATAATGGAGAGAAAATGAACAAATTCCATTAGCGGCTGGTGATCCCTGCAGGGTCTGTGTTGGAGCGAGGAGGGAGCCTGTATTTTTAGATAGAATGCAATGTAACTTACTGGCTCTCTCAAAGCTGGGGAGTAGATAACCAAGGAGGGAGAGAGGGGACATCAGGCTCAGGTTTCAGCTGAAGTGCCGGACTATGGCAGCACGAAAGGGCAGGTCCGGTCCAGACGTGTCTGTGAGTAAACAATGCACGACTCCTTTGTGCCCACAGAGACCTCTGCTTTGCTTTTCTGCTTGCTTTCTGCCTGTGGTCTCTGCTGCTGGGAGTGCTGAGGCTTCGGGAGCACCTTTGCTGCTGGAGCCTGTAGAGTTTTTCCATTTTAATCTCCGCAGCTCCATGTGTGTCCCATGGGTGGGAGAGCCTGGCTGAGCTGTGCTTTGACTTTCCAAGGGGTTTGCTGTCGAAGGTCTGTGCTGTGGCTGCATGCCAGCAGCATAGCTGAGGTTGCTGCCCTGTCATTGATCCTGACCTGAGATGCAGAGGCTTCTAGCAGGGTCTGGAGTTGGAAAAGCTCTTTACATTCAACCTGTTGCTTGGAGCTGTCAGTGTTTTCTCACTAGACCCCAGACAACACGCAGGGCTGAGCGTAAATGTGCACTTCTATGGACAGCGCTGGTGCTGCCTTCTGCCTCTTACAGTAGATCACCCTGTATGAACAGAGCACAAGCCACGTTGTGTGTCCTCTGTGCTCACAGCCCTCCACAAAGCCGACAGCTCTGCTGTGAATCTGGGGGCTCTTCCCAAATGGACAGGGTTTTCCTCTGAGGTGGTAGCAAGTGGAGCCAGCTGGCATAGGAGGTCATGCAATCAGCACGTGTTGCCTGGCCCACGGAGGCTGCGTACCAGGACAGGGCATGGTGGTGCTGCCCTCCACCACCTGCCCCTCTGACCCCGTGGGCTACCCTAGAAGGGGCCGTGGCACCTGGCCACTGCTGCAGGAGTCCAGGCTGAGTTCTGCAGGGTGTGCCCAGCACAGTGGGGGTCAGGACATCCCATCTGTGGGCCTTCCTTCTGCAGGGGGTAGCAGGGCGGTGGGCCCAGGTCATGGCTATGTTTCTCTGGGGTAGGAGGGTCAGGCAGAAAGGATGGGCTGGGGAACGCAGACAGAGGAGAGCGGAAGGCAAATGGAGGAGAGCAGAAGGCAGCCGAGTTGTGCTGCTCCAAAGTCTAAATTTGAATGGCTGAGGCTGCAAAGAGAAGGGAAGAGAGGAGCCCTGAAACCGTGTGGTGCATCATCCTGCATAGGTCTGCCTCCAGTGCTCTCCTCCGTGCCCAGGCTGCCTCCAGCTCTGGTCCAGGAGCTTCCTAATCCTGGGTGCTCTTCCACAGTCAGGCTGTGGGTACTACAGGATGGCCTGGGATGATGGCAGGATGAAGGCTCTCATAGCACAGGAGGTCCCTTGGTCAGTTCCAACGTGAGAGGTACAAGAGGGATTCTGATTTTCTATTGGAACTTAAGGCAGAGGAGTGTGTCCTGTGCCCTTGCCATGAATGTCTCATGGCTCTTTGCTGCAGAGAGCCCTTTGGACTGGACTTAGCAGGTAGGCAGCAGGTCATAGTTACTGGTCCAAGGTCCCAGCCTCACAGAGCCACATCGCTGCATTTCCACCCTGTTGTTCTCCAGCTTCTCGTGAGCCATCCCATGGTCTTCATTTGCTGCCTTACACTGCTAAATAGTGTTGCTTGAAGTATTGCTTGCTTTGCCTGGGGTGGCCGTGTTTAAGTGGTGCAGGGAGGCACTGCCTTGTTTCTGTCAGAAAAGAGAACCGTGACTGAGCGGGATGCTCAGCTGGGGTCATTGTCCCTGGTGCCGGTACTCGAACTCACCACCGTGACTGCCCGACAGTTTCTGGAGGACAGCAGGGATGGGCTCACCACAGCTGCGGTCTAGGCCTTGTCCATCGCTGCAGTCTCTCAGCCAGGACACAGAGGGGTTTGCGGGGCCAAGGGAGGCTGCCATGGCTGCAGGAGTCCCCTCAGAGCTTCCTCCCTACCCCACCGCAGTGCTGGGTTGAGCTGCAGACCTCGCATGGCTCTCCTACCCCGTCACCTGGATGTTCTTCACTCTAAGTCCGGGTCCTGGCCCTGCTTCATCCTCTCTGATGACAGCAGTCTGATGACATCCTGTCTGTCCCAGCAGTTCACACCTGGCCTCTGCCTTTTCTGCCTGGTCTCTGTACTCCTGTTCTCTGCAACTGAGGGAAGAGCTGGCCCTGTGCTGGTGATGAGAGAGAAGAGGGGGACTCTGCATCTCATGCTTGTTCTTTTTTTCCCCAAGGCCGATGCTGCAACCAGTTTCTTGAGAGCGGCAAGATCCGGGAATCTGGACAAAGCCTTGGATCACCTCAGGAATGGGGTAGATATTAACACCTGTAACCAGGTAGGTGAAACCCACAGGACTTCTGGTACCATCTCTAGTTCATGTGAAAATGTGCCACACAATGCCTCCCCTAGGCCCAGTGACAGCCACCTCTCCCCTTCCTTACACTGTTCCCGTAGGATGGAGGTGGGGAGGTTCCCCAAGGATGCTCACTTGCCCTGCGTAGCAGATTGGGAGCTCCCCCCCACCCCAGTCCCACAGTCCTGCCTGCCATGGAGCAGAGTATGAGGTGGTTGGTAATGAGTTGCCTGGCAGAGAAAGTTAAAAAACTTTGTGGGAGAGGCTGCCTGTCCTGCCCTCCTATGCCCGATGTGCCTGGCTCCTGATGAAGCATCTGGGGTTGAGACAAAAGAGGCGCTGTGTTAGGTGGGGTGTGACAGCAACTTTGCTATGCAGAGGTGATTTCCTGGGGATAATCTCCTCTGCAAAGGCATTGCGCAGTCTCCCGAGCTGTGGCATGCCTGGCTGAGGGGCAGGAGCCTGCACAGTGGGGAGATCCCTGGGATCCTGGCAGACCCCATCCTCCTCTCACCTGCACCACTCCCTGCCAGGCTCCAGGCAAGCTGCAGCCCCTTGTCCCTGCCTGTGCCACAGGAGCTCAAGGGAGAGGTCACACAGTGCAGACTCCACCAGCTTGAGCGGGGTCTCTTGCTGGGGAGGCTTCCACATCTGACCAGAAGGCAGGTCTGGACCAGTTGTCTTTGGGGCATGGAGGGCAGCGATAGCTATAAAGATCTGGGGAGCGGGGCAGTACTGGCTGGAGCATAGCAAAGGGCATTAGCAGGTAAGTGGAGAGGGAGATCTGAGGCTCCTTTAGGGTGACAGGCAACTGGGACAGCTGGAAGGGGCTCAGCTGCTCATCCGAGAGCAGAACAGATAGCTGTGAAGAGTGTAGCACAGTGGCTGGGACGTCGCAGGAATCACTCTTGGGGATATTGCCCTTGCCTGCAATGCTCAGTCTTTCAGATTCCCAGAACCTGCAGCTTGACACAAGCAGGGGATGGTTGCAAAATGCCAGTCTTGGTGGCTTGGGAGTTGTTGGGCTGGTGGAGCCTCTCCTAACCCAGAGCAGAGACAGGTCTTCCCCAGGAAAGGAGAGCTGCAGGCACAGAGGAATCGTTTGTACATAATCGATAGAACATTTTGTATCTGTGTAGCTGCCAAATGTAGGTGGCTCAGCCTGAATCAGGGTAGGTGCTGTACGGAGAGCCTCAGGGGGCTTGGGCTGAGCAGGGGGGACAGACAGACTGCACTGGTGGCTGCTTTCCAAAGCAGTAGTGATGCTGGGGAGGCTAAATGTATATTCACCTGGTTTAGTATCAAGTCCCCAAAACAGGTGTAATTCAGACCTACTGATTTGTGCACTGCAGTGGCCAGTGCAGTTGCTGCAGACAAGTTCCCCCAGGAAACATCACCGTCTGCTTTTCTTTTCTGACTGATGGTAACATGCAGGGATGCTTGGCCT